GTCGTGAGAAGCGAGGCACACAGTGCGTGTGTGAACCCACGGGGAGGGCGTGTGCCGTGCCTGGACATGACACGGCCGGCCTCACAGAATGGCTGGCCACACGTCCTGAGGGCAGCGCTGCCCCAGAACGGAAGCAGCGGCAGCAGAGGTGGGCTCAGGCAATGGCACCCCCTGCGTGAGTTTGGGGGGCAGGCTACTCGGAGCAGGGTCAGAAGGGGGCCCCCTGTGGCGCAGGCCCTTCTGTCTCCGGCCTCGTGCGTCTCGCATGCGCCGAAGCGGCCTCGCTCGCGGGCCGGTCAGCGGAGGCCTGCTCGGACCGCTGCAAATGCGGGGCGGCCACGAGCGGGGCTGAGGCAGCTGGCCAGTGGCTCCCGCTGCCCCCCAGCCCCTCCTCTGGCCGTGACCCAGCTTAACCCTCCCATCAAGGCATTGATTCTTCACCCCCGGCTCCCCCAGCCCGGTTACAGCCCTCCTCGTCCGGGAAACAAGATGTTTCTCTAAGTTTATGGCGCCATTAGACTTTCTCCGGGAAGCTGCAGCTCCGGGCTGGATTGTTCATGTTTCCTTTTTATGGCGGTGTCTGGCTGGGCCTCGGACGGCAGGGAGGGTGCGGAGAAGCGACTCAACGGCTTCGTTATCACCTTGGCTTTATTACAGGCAGAGTAAATTGCTTTTGTTTGAAGCGGCATAATGGTCTGAAAAGTGACTGTGTGGAAATGACATTTTCACGCTGCCTATTTATTCTCTGCTAAGTGCTTTGCATATTAAGTTTGCTCTATTTGCAAGCCAAAAAGCTAAGCCCAGGCTGGGCTGCAGCTTTTAAGGACGGGTTGGCCAACCTCGCGGGTTTCTGCAGCTTCCAAGCACCAGCAATGCAAATCAGGAAGGGCTGGCGCTGCAGACAGGGAACAAGTGGGGAGAGAGGCCAGGCTGGGGGCTGCGGTCCCCCAGCCTCGCTGCAACGGGTCCGAGCTCTGAGACAGACCGTGACCCCAGGAGTCAGGCAACGCAGGGCCCCCCTCCTCAGCCCGGGGCCAGCCATCTCCGTGCTGCAGAAAGCTCAGGGTTGCAAGCTTCCTCGGGAATGCCTGTGCTTTCAGCGGCTTGTATGCGGAGCAGCGAAGACACGGAGGACCATAAAGGAGGCCACCCAGGTGAATCCCGGCTCTGCTAAGCATCTCCAGGAAAGGAACCCGCACCCCCCCCCCCCCAGCCTGTTCTCTTCTACTGCTGAACAAGCTCGTGCTATCCGGAAATTTCTCTCAATTGCCAAGTTCAGAGAGACCTCCGCAATCACCTCCTCTTACCTTTATGACTTGAGGTGCAGGTGTCGCACGCCTTCTACAAGTGTCACCCGATAACCCACCTGAACAGGACGCCTGGGAAACTCCCTGCTAGACTACTGCAATGCACTCTGCGTGGGGCGGCCCTTGGAGATGGCGCAGGGGCTGCAGCTGGCAGTGAGATTAATAACGGGACCGGACAGCCCAGTCACACGGCACCAATCCTGGCCCACGTGCGCTGGCTGCCCACGCGCTTGCAAGCGCCGCTCCGGGGGCTGGGTGCGACCCACGCAGCGTTACACGGAGCTGGAGCCCCTCTTGACCTTGATCTGCGCACTCACGCTGACCAGCACCGGGACCTCCTTCAGAAGGCCCCACCCAAGGGAGCCGGCCTTTTTGGTGGCGGCCCCCCCCCCAGCCATGCAACGGCCTCCCCACCGAGCTCCCCCAGCACTGGCGCCGTCGTCCTTCTGGCGCCTGGCTTAGAAGGTCCGCCATCCCTGGAGTTCGAAAGGCATCTGTGTCTCCTCCTGTTTATTGATCTCCCTGCACTTCTGCGCTGCCCCACAACTGATGCCCTCCGGGAGGCTGACGGCTGTTGGTCCTGTTCTCAGGACCATCATCACATCAAGAATTCTTAGCTGTTCAAAGTGTTTTAAATGCTGTCAGTGAGAGAGCTGGATTTTTATTATCTTGCCTCCCTTTATTTTATTATCTTTTATTATCTTATGATGTGCATTTTCGCAAGCCACCCAGTCAGCACAGGCTACTGACTAGTATCGCGACTGAGCACATTAAAAGGCAAACAGGTTGAAGCAGGCCTGCCGCTTCCCCGCCGTTCCACCTTCGGACTTGGATCCCGTCGACAGAGGCCGTGCGAGGTGGACCTGCCCCATCCCCTGGGCCAAAGGCCTTCGGACATTTGGAGACTGCGAGCGCCCCTGCAGCCTTCCCCCCACACGAATCAGACTCGGCCCATCCCCGAGACTCGCCGTCCTGCTGGCCGCCCATCCGGATGGGCCCCGGTGTGCCAATCCGCTCCAAAGCTTTTCCGAAGGAGCCTCAGTCAGTCCGGCAGAGTGGAATCGCCGTGGCCTTCAGGACGCTCCCACAAACAGCTTTCCTGCTGAGACAGTGCTGCCACTGGGGCTGGATCAGGGCCGGGGCTGCCAGCTGGCTTGGCCCCCCCTCCCCCCGCCACCGCACCATCCTTGCCGGAATCTTCTTGAAGGAAACAAAAGCATGAACCCAAGTTCCAAGCACAACAGTTACAGATGCTCCTTTTATTCTGCTAATTTTTAAAATATACTCTCCGTTCGGACCACCCAGCAGTGCCCTCCCAAGGTAAATGTGTTTGCAAGCAACCCATACATAGATTGCGGTTCAAGCGAGTTTACCATGCAAAACCGGGCATGTTCAAAATATGTCTTCTTAGCAGGGCTGCAAACTATGTTTTATGAGCTCCTTTGCTCTCGCGTACTAGGAATAAGGAAGCCGCTGGCAAGTGTGCGTGGGCATGAGGCACCGCTTGTGCGATTTCACAGCCACATAAAGGGCCCCCGTAAGACCAGCAGGCCCGGGGTCTCCGGGCACGGAGCTGCAGCCAGTGGGGCCACTTTTCACGGCGGTCTGCGGGGCTGCCGGGTGCTGCCTCCATGCGCCGGGACCGGCGGGAAGGCGACGCAGCCACACCGCCAGCTCATGAAGCAACCACCTGGCGGCTCGACTCGGAACGGGGGCGTGTTTCCCAAAAGGAAGGCTCTTGCCTGCAGTCCCGGTCCATTGCTTCACACACTCGAGCACACCCCAGAGACCTTTCTAAGCACCCCCACCCCACCCCACCCCACAGGCCTGCCGCTTGCCAGAGCTCCAGCGGGGCCTCCCCTATGCTCCCCCACCCTCTCCCGCAATTGCCGCCCATGCTGGGAGGGGGGAGGGCTGGGGGGCTTCCTCGAAGGGGGGCCGGTTTCGATGCACAGCCCTCGGTTTAAGCAAGGTTCCCGAGCGGGGAAGGCTGCCGCCAACACAGAGGCCTTCGGCGGCGCCCGAGCCCAAGCCACGCTGGAATTCCACGGGGAGCCGGCTCCCTGGAAGAGCTCTCCTCCACCCGCCCTGCGCGGCAGGCCAGCTTGCAGGGGCTCGGGACGAAGGCAGGGGCGCTGTGGTTCGCCGAAAGCTGTGACCGCTTCAGGGCGGGGGCAGGACTTGGAAGGGCCCTTCCGGGCTCCCCCCCCCCCGAGTCACCATGGCAAGCCCCCTCCCTCAGGACGGGCTTCCTCAGAGGCGCCCTGCAGGATCTGCCCAACGCTCCACCTTCCAGCACGCCGTTTCCACTGGTGCCCCAAAACAGGGCTGGGAAGGGAAGCCCCCCCCCCCCCCGATCCCCTGCATCTGGCACTCGGCCGGATCCTGCCTCCACGGACAGTCGGCAAGCGAGGCCCGGATGGGCAGCGCCTTCCTGCTCAGAGTGCCTGCCAGCCGCGCCCTTTTCCAGGAGATGCCATTCCGGTCGTTTCCCAACCATCAGCCTGCATTCCGTGCTCAGCGCCGCTGGGACGGCTTTTGGGGTCCCCCTCCTTAGGGTTTTTCTCCGAAGCTCTTTCTGGAGGGTGGGTGGGTATTCCTGTAGTTCCCCAAAATCTGCCTGGGCACAGGTGATACAACCACGCCCCATGCAAGGAATGCTGGGATCTCAGGTGTGCATTCCGTGATCATCCAATCTTGCTTCAGATCCCGCGAGATGAAAATGGGGCCAGGGCTGAACTGGGCACAGAGCGTGGCTCTGGACTCGCATCCACCCGGGGCTCTGCCTTCCACCAGCCCCTCACGACGGGGCTCTGCAAAGGTTCCCATTCAGCCTGTGAGAGAAACTCAGGCTTCATTTTAGGAAAGCAAAACAAACATTGCTTTAGAAAAGCAAAACAAACAAGTGTCTAGTCCTTAAGAAATCACACTAAGACAGAGGTGCTTATTGGTACAGTGCAGTTTAGAAGCTGGAGGGAAAGCATGAGGGCCAGAAAGGGAGGCAGGTCCTTGAGGCCTCCGTGAGGCTGGGCCCTGTCCCACCGCAGGTGTAACGGTTCTGTGCGATTTAGGCAGGTTCATCTTCTATCTCTGGGCTGCAGCCTGGCATTCAACTGAGAAGCAGAACCAGCTTCGCATCAAGTGGCTCTTGAACAAAACCAGAGTCCCCCAGCCGCCCCGAACTGCGGACAAACAGACTTGGAAGCTTTAATCCCTCTCCCTCTCTTCCGGCAGGAGCTTCACCCGCGGTGCCGCAAGCCCCTCTGCGAGCCACGGAAGCCGCGTGGCGCCGTTCGCCTTTGACGCTAAAGTGGCCCGCAGGCCGGGGGCCACCGAGCGAGCTGGCGCGACGCCTGGAGGGCCCTGGGGGCTGTGTGGGGAGCACGGACAAGGCCACAAGCCGGGGCTGGGCACCCCATCCTCTCTCCACTAGCCTCGCCCCGTGGGTGAGGGCCACCACAGCCTTCTCAGCCCCGGGGCCTGCAGATGGGCTGGACTGCAATGGCCATCATTCCCAGCAGCACTCTCACCATGGGAGCATCCCACTTCCGGGGGGGCGGGGTTGGATAATTCTGCCGCCCGAGGGAGACCAAGGCTGCTGACCGTGCGAAGGTCGCTCGCAACAGGCAGGCAAAGGGGGTGGTGACTGGGCAGGGCCCCCCCCCGCCCTCACAGCACCCCCCCCAACCCCCACAACAGACCGCTCTTCGCCCTGCTTGTCTGCTCTTGGAAGCCACCAGGAAAGGGCCAGTGAGCGCCCCGGCCGCACGCACCCTCCCTCCTGCACAGCCAGGCGGAGCGCTGGGGGGAGCGCCTGGCCTGGGGGGGGGGCAGCAGGCTCTCCCCTCACTCGAGGGATCCTGCTGCTGGGCTGCGTGGGGGCTGCCCGTCCTCCCACCCGCCCGAGGCCAGCCGCCGAGATCTTTGGCACAAACAGCAGCGCCCCTGCCCACCCCGAGCGGTCAGTCCAAGCACGGAATGCTCCAAAACACACGGAGAAAATCGCCCGGCAAAAAGCCAGGTGCCCCTCGGGCCGAGCAGCCGAGCGCTCAAGCTCCCGGGAAGGCACGGGCAGCACAGCGCTCGTCCTCCGGCCCCGGCGCACCCTCCCTCTGGGGAGGCGCTGCGGCCTCCCGGCTCCTCCGGCCCCGTCCCGAGTCCTGCGCCGAGCCCGCGGCCTCCCTCTGGGCGCAGCTCGAGGCCCCCCGCCGGGGCTCCGTGCCTTCCCTCGCGTGCAGCGTGTCCAGCAGGCGGCCCACGTTGTCGGAGAACTCGTCCCGCTTCCTCCCCGCCCCTGCCAGCCTCACAGGGCGCAGCGCGGGGTGCGGGGGCACGTAGGGGTGTGGAGACCAGACGTCGCCGAGGAAGAGCCAGGTGGCATCCGGGTCCACCTGCATCAGGTGGAGGAAGACGCTGCCAGGACAAAAGTGGCGAGAGGTGAGCAGGCGGAGGCCTAACGCGGGAGCCACATCGTCCCCGCAGGCTGGAAGCAGACGCGGGGCAGACCCACTGGATTGGAGGGGCTATCGAGGGGGCCGAGTCCAGACCTAACCAGTGACGTGGCTTTCGGCAAGTTGTTCCTGGCCTCAGCTGCCCACCTGCAGCTTCTCTCCCGAACAGACGAACCGAGAGCACAGGATGTGCCCGGCAGAGCATGTGGGACGGGACCGGTGCCCGTCTTGCAACATTGGAGGCCGCCGGATTCTGCGCCAGATAAGTTGCGGAGGCCCCATCCGCAACCCACGCATGAGCGGGTGCGCAACCCCGGGGCAGTTCTGCGAGCGCACATGCTTTCCGGTGCTCTCCCTTGCCTCCGCACACCAGAGTCTCTCTCCCAGGAAGCGCACCACCGGCACAAACAAGGCGTGCAAACGCTCTGCTAAGTGCCTGCAGTTCGCGGAGGGCAGGCGGGACAGGCACGTGCTTAACGGGAAGCGACGCACGCTTAAAAGGGCACCTTTTCCCAGCGGAAAATGCTCGCTGTGCCCCACCAGTTGTGGGCGCAGCTGCTGTTTAAAGACGGTGGAGATTTGGAACATGAATGGGGCAAAATGCACTTGGCGGAAGCTGGAGAACTTCAGCCACTTGAGCAGTGCCCGGCCTGGAGTCCGTGCGAAAGGCCGACTCTTGCGCATTCACAGAGTGAGCACAGACAGCTGGAGGGAGGGCTGGGCTGGGCTGGGCCCCCAGCCCCACACACCTCACCATCAGCCACAGCCAGGATGCCCGCCTCACAGCATGGTCATCACCCCCCAGCTGAGTCTGGACAGGCCCCAAACCGCTCGTTCCTGTGCGCCAAGCCGCCCCGCGCAAGGGAGGGCAGCCGCGTGCACGTGGGCGCTGCCGCTGTAGCGGCCCTCCATGAGGCTGGGGAATCGCGGGGGGGAGGGGGGAGGGACGGGCCAGGGGGAGACTCTGGGGCAGGGCCCGCCCCCCGCCCACCCCACAGCCAGGCCACAGCCCCGCGTCCCCCCGGCAGTTCCGCAGCAGGTCTTCGTACTCCACCCCTAGACGGGGGGTGGGCCGCAGCCGAGACCCCTCCTCTGGAGCCCGTCCCAGGAACTGAACGGAGCCCGCTGCCGAGCGCACGCGCCCAGGCCCCCACTCCTCTGCTGCAGAACGAAATGGGGCCAGTTGCTCCGAGCACTAGGGCATTCCTGGCCTCTGGCTAGGCTGCTTGGGGATGATGGGAGTTGAAGTCAAACCGGGCTGGGAAAGCAGCTGTGCTGCATGGTCCGCACCCCGAATGCTGGAAGTGCACTGAATAAGCACAACGGTGTAGTTTCCACCTGCTGGGACCAGCAGCCCGGGAGAAAAAGCTGCACCCCGGCTCTGGCACGGCCGCCTCCCTTCCCGCGGAGGCGGGCCGCTGTCGCCGCCTTTCCAGACCACGGCCGTGCAGAAGGGCAGATTCGGAGGTGGCTCCTCTGGACAGATGAGCAAGAACCGAGCCCTTGTGCCACTCCGCCCGGACCCTGAACGTCCGCACACCACCCGCTGTGACGCTCGCCCAAGCGATTCTCCTCCGGGAAGCGGCGCAACCAAAGTCAAGCGACGGCACGGCGGCACGGCACCAGCAGGCTCTCACGCCAGAGTCCCCTACTGGCCTCAGCAGAGGCTCAGTGAAGCTGCACACGCTGGCTCGCTCTCGCTCTCGTGGAATTTGGCAGCGTATTTCCTTCTGCAGCCTCATTTCCCAGGCACATTTTATCGGCTGTGCCCGTATCCAAATGCTGCTTTCCGTGCCACTTGGGCTCCGGGGCTGCTGTCGCATGCCAACTGCCTGCACACGGCACCGGTGCAGGGGGAGCGCCCCTCCCTTGGCAAGGAAAAGGCGGCGCTGGAGGCAAGGAGGGGCCAGCCCAGCACGCGGCCCACCTTCCAGGCAGCGGCTCTGGCCCACCTGGGAAGGCCCTGGCAGCCACGGGCACGTGACGAGGCGAGCGACCGGACCGCCCACCGGCCCCTGCCGCTCAGCGCGACGCCCTCTGGAGAGGAGCCCAGGCAGCTCTGTTCCCGCTGCAGGCGGCCCTGCCGCCGCCCACCTCCTGGGTGCCTGGCGCCCCTCGTGCCAATCATCCGAACGGCTCCTGGCAAGGCCCCAGCTCCCTCTGCCCTCCCCTGACAACTCAGCAGCTCGAGTGCCCATCCTCCCCAGAGGGGGCTGTGGCAACGCCGGGCGGGCTTGGGCACAGCCCAGCGTGAACCGAGCCCACGCCCGAACCCACCCCCCACAAGCCCGTGCCCGGCTCTGGACCCTGAAGCCTTCCCTGCATGGATGCCAGTCAAAGCCACGCCAAAGGGAGACGGTCCGGGGAGCACAGAACTGCCCCAGAACCGTGACCGGAAGCTGCCAAAGGGGCCGGCGCCAAACGCCGAAGCCGAAGCGCTGCCACTGCGGAGGAGGCCTCTGGGGCAGTCCTGTCGCTGCCCTGCTTGAACCACACAGCTCTCCGCAGGGCTGCTGCCTCCCTCTCCTTCGGGACGCATTGGCGCAGGACCACCGAGGCAGCTCCAGAGGCCGGACGAGCGGCCCCTCGCCTCTGGCTCGCCTCGCTGAAGCTGAGAGAGGTTCTTCAGGCCTCACCGGATTCAGCAGAGGGCGACCCTTCTCTGCGAGGGACAACCGCAGGTGCTCTGGGTGGCCGGGCAGGGGAGGCCTTCTCCCCGCGCGGGCAACGTGGTCTGGGCGCCGGTGGGGGCAGAGGGGAGCTGCCAAGGATCCCCACGGCACATGGGAAGGTGGCAACCTGGTCCCCCACGTGCTCCGGCCGCCGATGCATTCCATGCCGCCGGTTCTTTGCCGCACCGATTCTGCCACATGTGTGTCTCCTTCCCCGCACCAGGGCATGCAGAATCCTGCTGCCCGGGAGACCAAACCGCAGGCTTATCTCATGCGGCAGGCAAGGCCGAACATGCTAAGCCGTCCACATGAGTGGCAGGATGCGCCAGACGCTGGAGGCCCACCGGCAGCCTAATCCCCCCGAAGCGTACCAGGCGGCGCTGGCGGGAGTCGGCAGGCTGGGCACCTGCACCGCCTCACCCCCAGCCAGACCGATGGGAAGGGGTCCCTCCAAGCCCCTGGCAGGCAGCCCTTCCCGGATCTCTCGAGCACAGATGCGGCGCGTGAGGCGAAGGACCTCGGCAGCACCCAGGGCGGGGGGGGCGTAGGCGGGAATGCCCCTGGAGCAGCAGCTTCTGCGAGGCACACGCCCCCATGTGCTGAGGAGGGTGGGGTGCCGGGGCTCTCGCGGTGCCCGTGGAGGGGGCAGCTCCGCAGAGGCACGATCCACCCCCCGGCCGCACAGCAGGCCCTGGCGCACACCCTCCCCGGGTCCCACGTCCCTGGCCCTAGCGGGCTGCCCTGCGCCCCCTTTCGTCCTCCGCGCCAGGCAGGGACGGCGGAACCGCCCTGATGCGGGTGCCACGAACCCCCCCTCCCGGAGGCCGAGGCAAGCCGTTCTCTCCCGAGCGCCTGGGGCTCTGCAGCCGAAGGAGCAACTTCTGCATTTTATTCTATCTTATTTATTTTTTAAACTCTTACTCTGGTAGTTTCCAAGCAACCTCCGTTTCCATGGCAAAAGATCCCAGGGTTAATCCAGGATGGAGTGCTTACACTTCTATTTGCTTTGTTCAAGTGTGATTTATCGATTTTTTTGCTTTTGCTTTTGCTTGGCTGAGTGCTGCGCTCTGGCTTACGACGGAAAGATACCAACAGGCACCCGAGGACTGGAAGTGGCTCATGCTGGCCACTCGGAGCCGCGCGCACCTGTGCTTCTCCGGCTGGAGGCGGCTCAAAAGTGCTGGCTCGTGCGTGCACCGTTCGTTGGAGCCAGCTCTCCTGAGCTGCCAGATCACACCGGAGCCTCCGTGGAAGGCGGCCTGTGGCCGCCCCCCCGTGCCGGATGGGGCCCCGGGCGGTGGGTGCTCTGGACTTCCCAAGGACGGTCCTCCCCGCAGCAGCTGGCCGGTGCCGAGGCTGCCTAGGCTGGGAGGCAAGCGCCATTCCGCCTGGGCGACTTGCATGTTTAACAGAAAGGCCAGGAGCAGTTGTTTAAACCGAATTAGGAAACTGTGGGATGGCGTTCAGGGCTCTTTGTGCAGGTGGAGAGCGATCCCCCTTCCTCTGGCTCTGAGGGGACCTGGCGCCGCCGGCTGGCGCACCGCAGGGCAGCCTGGCTCGGGCACAGCAGCACGGCTGACTTTGGCCCAGGCCTCCCTGGCCGCAGGTGCCAGCTGGAGACGTCGGGCAGAAAGAGGAGCCCTTGCCCAGCTCCCGCCCGACACGTCCTTGCCCGTGCTCGGGGACCCGTTTCGAGGAAGGGCATCTCACAGGCCAGACTGGCCGGCGACAGCGGAGGCCGTGGGCTCCCCCTGGTTCCTGTGCCCCCCCGACTGCCTCCCTTGCATCCCTGGCCGGGCGCAGCGGTTCCGCTTCCCATTCCTGCACCGCGCTCAGGGGAGGGGGCGAGGCACTGCACGGACGGCCCTGCTCCGGGCCGGGGGGAGCGGCCCGCTAGACCCGATGCACGGCTGAAAGGCTGCCCCAAACGCCACCCCATGGACAACCCCCCGCCTGCGCCCGCGCGCCCGCACCGAAGTGCCCGAGGGTCCGCCTTACCTGCAGGCGGCTTCCTGCAGCCTCGCCGGCTGCTTGGCGCTCAGGTACGGCAGGCAGGAGACCGCCACCCTGTCCAGGTCAGCTGCACCTGCCGGGATGGGAGGATGGGTGTCAGCGGGAGCAGCCTGCACGGCCCGAGCCCTCCGGGAGGGGCAGCCCAGGGCCCCGCTCACCCCGGAATCAGAGGAGGCCGTGTGGGGCTTGTGTGGTCTCGGCCGGGCAAGCCTTCAGTCAGAACGGGCAGGCGGGGCTGGCCCCGGGCCCGAGCAGGCCCTTCTTCCTGCGGAGGGGCCCAGGGTGGGACCACAACACCGCCCCTGGGGAGCAGGAGGCGCCACGCTCAGGCGGGGGGGGCAGCCGCACCTACTCCACCCCTCGGAGCCAGAGGGCACGCGCAGGGCTGTCGCAGAACGCTCTGGTGGGAGGGGAGGGACGGAGAGAAGTCGGAGCGCAGGGAAGTGCAGAGCGGGGCCGTGGGTGTCTCAGCCCTGCAGCCTCCACCACGTAACGGGGGCCGCTGCCAGCAGCTCCTGTGTACTCACCGAGGTCCAAGGCCACGCTGAGCACCCCGAGGCCCTGCAGCACCGCCAGCTGCAGCTTGAAGGCGAGCGTGTGGCTGTAGGTGGGCCCGGCGCGGGCGCTGACGGGGGCCTGCGTGACGAGGGAGCCCGCCAGCTTGGGCAGGACGTCCTTGGAGAAGCGCCGCCGCAGGAAGTCCCCGCTGTGGGCCCCCAGCGTGCACAGCACCTGCCAAAGCCCGGGAAGCGGTTCTTACAGCCGGAGGCCACCCGCACGTGGGCCGACAGCGAGACGCTGCCGTGTGGGGCGCCCCACCCAGGGCTCCCGCCGGCCGGCCGTGCCCTTCCTGGGTACCCACAAGGGGCCCCGTCCTGAGCGACCCCTCCTGCGCCAGCTCCGCTGAAAGCGACGGGAGATGGCCCAGCCGTGGGTCCTTTCCGCAGGCCTTCAGCGGGAGACACCCCCCGCTCTCTCTCCCCACACACACTGCACGCTCCTTTCCTAGATACGCGGGCCGGTTACTAGGCGCCTCTTGGAACTAACGAGCTGATCCGGGTGCATCTCGCTATGGCAGCCTCCACAGCTGGCGCACGCAGTGGCCCCAGGAGCATTTCCCCAGAGCCGTGCGGTGTGATGGGGAGGAGCGCCGGACGGGGGGCTGAGGCAATCCGGGTTCTAGCCCCGCTTCCGCCACGGAGCCAGCTGGGTGACTTTGGGCCGATCCCCCACACTCAGCCCGACCTGCCCCACAGGCTTGTTGTGAGGATAAGAGGGAGGGGAGGGGACTTCTGTAAACTGCCTTGAGGTTCTTGGAAGGAAGAAAGGCAGGATATGAAATATAAGGCAGGCCGGCCGGCCGGCAGGCAGGAAGGACAGGCGGAGGCCAGCCCACCCGCCCGCTTGCCCATGCTGCAGGTGGGACCGGGCAGGCCTGCAAAGCACCCTCTGTGCTCACCCCCCTCCCCGGGTTGCTTCCTGCAGTCCAAGGAGGCAGCCACCCTCAAAGGACATTCTGTAATAACAGCTGCTGCTTGGCAGCAATTCCCAAACTGCTGGGGGGGGGGGATCCTGCTTCTCCATAACAGATTCGCCCCTCTTCCCTTCACCCGGGAGAAGTTTGCCAGAGCTCCCCACCCCAGGCAAGGCTGGCTCCTGGGCTGTTTTCCCATTCAGCTTTAATCACCCGAACCATTTCCACTTCAAAAGCTCCACAGAGAGGAAACTTAGGCCTCGATTCCAGAACCACACGCCTGGAGGGCATTCCTCCTAAAACTCTGAGAGCACAGCTGGGCTAGGACAGCTCTGACAGAGACCCTTCCCCCCAGGAGGGGCCCTTCCACTCCACGCCCCCCCCAAAGAAACTGGGGGAGCTGCAGGGGAGCCCTGCAGCCGGCGGGCTTCCTGCTTCCTTTTCAGCCTGTTCCAGTCCTGCACACGCCTCACCCAAGCACAAGCCCCACTGAACTCAGCGGGTAGGTAAGCCCCAACGGAGCTCCTTCTTGCAAACCGACTCCCCCACTGTCAGTGGTTCCCATTGCCTTGGATGCGGAAGAAAAGTAGAGACCACACGGACCTTGAAAATAAACAGGAAGCAAAGGGAAGCTCTGGAGAGGCGACTTGATGGTGGCACCTGGCTGTGGGACTCCAAGGTGAAAGCGATTCCTGCCCTGCTCCCTACCAGCTCTTACTTATGGCACGGGTCAAAAACTGATTTCCAAGAGCTTTAAACTGGTTTTCAGCAGCCTGCCTTTCTCGTCTCTCTTCCACCCTCCCTAGTTCCTACGAGATCTTATTCTGAATCGCTCCGGGAGGCCTGCTGAGCAGCAGCCCGCAAACCTTTAATCAGCGAAACAGAAAATAAGGCGGATCTCTGCCTGCAGCTGCTGCACCGGAGCTGCAGAACCCGATTCTCTCGAGCGGGCAGAGAACTGGCGCCACTTGCCGCCACGCAGTCGGCGTGCAAAACGCCAGGCGCCGCCCTGCACACGCGTGGCGTCAAGCACACCGGTGAGCGTGGGTGCCACACCTGTCTGTGCAGCCGCGCCACTTCGCTTCTGAAGACAGAGCCCCCAGGCCGGGTGAGGAGCCGTCTAGGCCCCGAAGTGGGGCTCCGGCCCACGCCGTGCGCATGCGAAGGGGCGATCTCCCCGCCAACGGGCAGATTCACACCGCGCCGCAGGACCGGCGTCTCAAGCGATGGAGACGAGCGTCGACGGGGGTGCTGTGGGCCCCCCGGGACTAAGACCTTCCCCCAGCAGGGCCCGTGAGGCTTACCTGGAAGGCTCTGAGCACGGCCAGGGGGTCGTCGTTAGTCAGGCGGGCGACGAGGGCCGGCCACGTCCGATGGGCGAGCGGGAGCAGGAGGTTCGGGAGGGGGGCCAGCAGTGCCACGCAGAGCTCCAGCACGTCCAGGACCTGCCGGGAGAGCGGAGAGCCGGGCGGCGCCACGCAGAGTCAGGTGCCCGTCCCCTGATGCGCAGCGGCCCGGCCGCGCTCCGGCTCTGCCCGCGCGTTCGGACAGGCCCAGGGCGCTGCTTCGTAACCAGCGAGAGGGAGGCAGTGCTGCGGGTCCACAGGCATCCCGGCCCATGTCGAGGAACCCTTCAAGCAGCTCGCCAGCCTGCTTCGTGCCAGGTGGAGGGAACGGACCTCGGGACATGCTCAGAGGAACCCTTTTCTTTTACCATGTTATGGTCCAGCATGGCCCTTTCAGCTCGCTCATGACGGGCTGCATGTCTTCCCCGTGCTCCCCCTGCCGCCCCACCTCTGTGCTCCTGCATTTGCCGCAGTGCTAGCAACTTGCGGGCGGCACTTTTGCCTTGGGGCATGGCATGAGGGGCGTGGGAAGCCGATGCAGTGCCTGCCCCCAGGACACTGGGCAGGAGAGCACGCCCCTGCCGGTGGGCCCACGGGGCGCCCCAGGAACCTCAGGGCCCGGCAAGGCACGGGGCGCCTCTGCGACCGCCCAGAAGAGCCCGAGCGGCGGGAGGCACGGCTGCTCCGGGGCGTACCTTCAACCTCACACGGAGGCTCTTGTCGGACAGCAAGTGGACGCACCGCTCCAGCACCTCCTTGGCGGTCCGGGCGTGGGGGGGCACGCGGCCCTCCGCCTCCGGGGCCAGCCCGCCGGGTCCGGCTTCCGGGGCAAGCAGATGCTCTTCTGGGGGGCAAACAGGGGCAGGGCTGGCAGTTACGGGGCAGCGCTGAAACACACGGTCTGCTGCCTGGATGCTGCGCAGGGGGAGGACCCGAAGGGCCGGCCTGGCCTCGGCCACGTCCCCTGCCGGGGATCCCTCGCCCGCCCGCCCACCCGGAAGGGCCCGCCGGCTCGCACGCTCGGCATGCGGCTGCCTTCCCCACACCGCCGGCCTCCAGGCGCGGGACGGCCATCCCGCTGCCCGGGAAGAGCGGAGAGCTGTGGTCCGCAACACCTGGCGGCTGGCCAGCGGGCGCCGGGGGACGTGTCCGCACGGACTGGCAAGGTCCTACGGCTGCGCTGACCTTCCTCTTCGGCATCGGGGAGATCGCCCTCTGAGATCCGCTTCTGCTCGACGTACCCCAGGAAGAAGCCCTCCAGTTCCTCTGCAGCACACGCAGGCACTCCCTCGCGTTGCCCGGCTGCTCCCGAGGAGGAGCTGCTGCTGCCTCGCACCAGGTCCTTCCTGGCCTGTGGCCCTGCGCTGAAGTGGCGCACTGCCAAAGAAACGGAGCGAGACGGTTACCCCACCCAGATCCAATGCGGAATGCACGAAACAAGGCTCTCACATTAATCGTGCTGCTGGGAACAGATCGTATTTTGGGCAGCCGGCTTTTTTCTAATTCTGGTTTGGAAAAAGAGGGTTGTGCCCCAAATGGGCTGGGCCAGGAGTTACGAGGTACGGGGCAGCCAGAGGCAAATGCCAAACACAGAAACAGAGCGAGTCAGAAGGGGTCTCCCAGGCCATCTAGTCTGGCCCCTGGCTCCGCTCACAGCATGCCCACCATGCGCACATCCAGCCTGTCCTTGAACACCCGCACCGGTGGGGCCTCAACGACCTCTCGTGGAAGCCCATCCCATACCCTCGGGGTCCTGACTGTCAGGAAGTGCTTCCTAGCATCTAAATGTGTGTAGCCCCCACACAGCACAACCAACATTCAGCCTGGGCAACCCTCTGGCGGAAAGTGTCCCGCGGGGCAGCCTCGTCTGCCTCTCCCACGCCCTCGGCTACCTAGCGTCACCATCAGCGTGTGCAAGACCCCGAGGAAGGCAGGTGCTCGGTCGCTGTGGCACTGGTCCACTCTGGCCAGGGTGTCTCGAAGGACGTCCTCCACCAGCGGGAGCACGGCGGCATCCGAGTGCCGCAGCATGGCCTCCAGGACCTGCAAGGCACGTGGCTCGTGGGCCCGGTGGCGCAGGTGCAGGGAGATCCCGTTCACCAGGTAGTCGGCGTTGCGGTTGATGAGGTCGGGGATGGAAGCATAAGCGCAGGCCCGGCAGATGTCGGCCATCGCCTCCCGCGCGGTCTGGCTGATCAGCAGCGTGGGGTCGCCCGCCTTTTCCAGGACGGGGTACAAGGCAGAGATCAAGAGCAACTGGAAGTCTTCCCCGAGTGCGTGGGCAAAGCGGCCGATCCCCTCCAGCTGGATGCAGATTTGCCAGATGTTGCTGTTCATGGAGTGGACCGTGGGCCGCGGGCCCAAAGGAGGCGCCCGGGGCGGGAGGGCGGGGAGCCCGGTGTGATGCACTGCCGGCCCCACAGTGAGCTCGTCTGCCTGCAGGCTGGTGACCAGGTGCCAGTTGGCCTGGTCCACATACTCTTCCAAAATGGAGCGCATCACCTCTCTGAGATCCTCGGCGCCCGGGGCAGTCTCGCGCTCCAGGAGGGCGTCTGCCGCCAGCCCCGCGGCCCCGGCGATCAGCTCATTGAGGACCAGAGCGGCCTGCTTCCGGTACAGCACGGACTCTCGGTACAGCTCCGTGAAATGGTCTGCCAGCAGGTAGAGGTCCCCATAGTAGCCCAGCACCTGGCAAATCTGCTGAAGCAGGATGAGAATCCGATCGTCGGTGAAGAACCGGAAGGACTTTGTCTGGGCATGGCCAGTGTGCCAGAGCCCCGGAGAAGGCCCCGCAGCCTCGCCCAGCCCTCCGGGGCCCCCGCACCGCTCCTCCACAACCTTCACGTCCTTCACCTCCAGCTCCAGCACCTGCAGGAGGGCCTTGGAGAGCCGCTGGAGGTGGGAGGCAGAGGTGAGGACCACGTTCACCTTGGGGCCCAAGAGCTTCACGTATCCCAGGAGCAGGTTCAGGGTCGAGATCTTCCCCTGGTCGTCCTGGGAGTCCATCAGGCGCGGGAGGGCGGTGGCGAGCGAGTGCAGATCCTCCGCCAGGATGTCGGCGAGCTGCCTGTCCCTGGCCAGGGCTCCCTGAGCTGCCACAGCCCTCAGGACCGCGTGGCTCTGCTTTTGGATCTCGGGCCGGTCGTCATTGACCAGACCGACCAGGGCCTTTAGAAGCTGGCCGACCGACCCGGCCAGGGACCGGCTGCAGCGGGTCACCAGGAGACGGACCATTTCCACGAGCGCCTGCCTGGCCTTCCAGTGAGGGTGGGCCGAGGCGGACGCAGCCACCTTCCCGATGAGGATGGCGAGCTTGGCCGCGGTGCCCCTTGCCCAGGCCTGCCCTCTGTGGACCACCAGCCCCGCCGTCCGGCCCGGCGCCGTGGTGGCCTGCTCCCCCTCGGGGGGCACCCGCAGCAGCTGCTCGTCCGCCATGACCAGACCGACCGTCCGAGAGAAGAGCTCGATGGCAGAGACGACGACCGCGTGGCCTTGCCTCGCGTCCCCCGTGATGATCCGGGAAAGCGTGGTGGCGATGCCGGGGAGGAAGGAGGCAAAGAGGTCCCCGCAGCGCTGCGCCTCCTCTCCGCGCAGAGCCCCGTGCTCCTCCGGGTCGTCGCGCTGCAGCAGGAGCGCCTGCAGGCACCGGAGGGCCGCCAGCCGAGCGGGCTTGGCCTTCTCCTGCTCCGCCAGAGCCAGCAGCAGGGAGACGGCGAAGCCCAGGACGGGAAGGGCGGCGGGCTGGTACAGGGGCAGGAGGGCCTCCGCAGACGCCGAGTGCAGCAGCGCCTGCAGCGCCTGGGCCACGGCCTGCCTCAGCTCTTCCGGCAGCGGGGCCAGCTGGTGCGGGCTGGAAGGGGCCGCCAGGCAGACACAGAGCTCGGAGAAGAGCTCCAGGAGGAGGTCCGGCTTCTCCACGCGCGTCACGGAGAGCACAAAGGTCACGCACTCCACCACGCTCTGGACCATGCGCTCTCGCTTCCGCCCCGGCGTCTTGAGGGTGAATCTCAGCGGGAAGAGGACGTACTCCTGAAGCTCCTGCAGGGCAGCATCTCCGACCACCTGCAGCTGGGAGTGCAGACGTGCCACGTTCTCCACCGTCTGTGCTTTGGTGAGCTGGACACAAACCGGGCGCAAGGCCCCAAAGGCCTCCTGCGGGGTGTCAAATACTGCCATGGCCTCTCCAGTCATGCTTCCCGGGCCATCATCCTGTGTGTGGAAGGGGAATGGAGGTCCGTGAGACAGTGCCGTCCCGTTTCACATACTTCCCTGCAGCGGCCATGTCAGAGGCTGGGCTATCTGTACTTGGCATGCTGCTGGTCCTCAACCAGCTCCAAGCCACCCGAGCAGCTCTTCTCCAGAATAAGGAAAAGGAGGTGGCCTCTCTCAGCGCAGCCGCCCACTGGCGGAGAGCGCATATGGGCGTGAGTGCGCCAAGAGCCCCTCCCAAGCCTCCAAGCCCTGCCCGCCCCCAGTTGCGCCAATAAAGCTGAACAAGGAGGGCTCACGGGGAAGGAGAAACGGGCGCTTGGCGCTGGGCTAAGCAGGGGGAGGCAGTCACGGTGGGGCCACCGCCAGTGTGCCAGGCGAGGGTTCGGTCCTCTCTCAGTCGCCACGCTTGCTCAGTCCCCGTCGGCTTGACCTGCGAGGCAGGGGGCTGCCTGAGCGCACACAAACTCTTGAGTGATGGGGCACCGGGCAACTCGGAGGGGTGAGTCAGGTTGCCCTCAATTCACCTCCTCTGACTGGCAGTGGGTTTAAATCACTGCACCCAGGCATTCCCTGAAGTGACAGCTCACAAACCCATTGCACCCGTTGACAGGTGGGGGCTATTACCTGTCCCCCAGATGTTACCTCAGTGGGGAGGGGGTGTAGTTACATCTGACAGAGCGTGTAAGAAGGAGCGTGTCTGTCAGCTCCGAGCGCCGGTCCGTCCACTTTCAGGAGCTCCCCCAGGCTTGGGGATGCGTCTGATGCACCAGGCAGCAAGGGGATCCCGTGCTGGGGCCCAGCCGTGGGGTAGAGTCCCTCATCGGGACTCTGTCCCAGGTGGGGCGAGCAAAGACCCTGCCCGAAATCCTAGCGAGTCTCTGCTGTCGAGAAAACGGGGCTAGGTGAGGCGCTGGACTCCAAGGCTCCTCTGGGTAACCTTGCCCTCTATTCGGAATCATGAGGACTAGAGCCTTAGGAGAGAGGTCACCGCCCTCGCGCTGCGGCCCCCTCTGGCTCCCAGGCCAGTTCCCCGTACGGCCATCCCGGCCCTTTGAGCCCTGGCGCGAGCCCGCCAGGCCCGCCCGAGCCCTCTTACCTTCCGCCGCTCGCGGGGCGGCCCGGCACGTGGCGGAAGTGCGCTCAGCCCCTTTCCGCGCCCGCTCGCGCGAGCGAAAAATCTCCCGCAAGAAAGTAAGGCGAGCAGACGGAGCAAGAAAACTCCCGTCGGGGCACCACTGCGCACGCGCACTGAAGCGGCTGCGCACGCGCCGACCGAGGCGGCGGCTCGGGGTGCGCCTGCGTCCCGACCAGCTGCAACTTCGCGGTTCGCGCTCGCACTCTTCTCGCGCCTTTTGCCCTTTTTGTTCCCCGCCGGCGACCCGTAGCATGCTGCCCTTTGACCAGCACCGGCGCCGGGGTGAAAGGGCGGGGGGCCATTTTGTGGCGGTTGCTTGTCTCTGAGGGAAGGGGGGCCCGGAGAGGGCAGGCGGCGGTGGCGCCGGTCTGGTCCAGCCAGGCCGGGCGAAGCCGAAGCGCGGGGCCGGGCGGGGCCGGGGCTCCCGCGCCGCTCCCGCCATGTCCTCGTTCTCGGAGTCGGCGCTGGAGCGGAAGCTGTCGGAGCTGAGCAACTCCCAGCAGAGCGTCCAGACGCTGAGCCTGTGGCTCATCCACCACCGCAAGCACGCTGGGCCGATCGTCACCGTCTGGCACCGCGAGCTCCGTAAGGGTGAGGAGGAGGAAGGGCGGCGGCGCGCGGGGAAAGCAGCGAGGGCGCGCGCGGCATGCAGCGCTCCCGTCCTCGCCGGGAGAGAGGGATGCCAGCGTGGCTGAGCAGCTGAGTAACGCGAAGGAAACGGGGGTCCAAGAGGCAGGATGCACCCCCGCCGCCTTTCGTCACTGTGGAAAGCGCGGGAGGGGCCCTTTCTGGAACATGCCTCTCCTAGAGGAGGAGTCCCGGGGTGCGGGGAGAAGAGCGATGGCTCCATCCCATAATTCAGCGCTTTTATTTGGGGTTTCGAGATTGCATCTCGGCCCGCAAAAGTTAATACAGGGAAGACGTAATTGGGGAGACAGAGCTTTGAACTGCTTGTAGAAAAGGACATCAAAGGGGAAAGAAGACATTAACTGGAATAGAAGGTGCACTCATTTGGTTCTGCAGAGAATTTTAGCAAGATACAAATATATTTCATCAAGGAAAACACGGATAATGTTGAGGTATAGTTTGCACGGGTGATGCCTTTGTAGGTTACTTTATCATGTACCAGAGGCTGCAGTATTGTATTGTGAACCGGCTTTATACTTGATCACTATTAATGGACTAGAATGGCTGCTTCATTTCAAAATTATGTGCTCTAAAAAAAAGAGACATAAGTTCAGTCTCTTGCCACATTATGCAATTGTGCAAAGGTGCATGAAGGAGGAGTGATGTTAATCCGTATCTAAGGTGCTAGGAGACAAGGGAGTCAATGCAGTGCTAGCTTTTCTTTGTAGGAAACGTGCTTCTGCTCATGCAGGTTGAGGCTCCTAATAGCTAAGAAGATAAGAGAAGCCATGCTGGAGCAGGCCCTGGGTCCATCCAGTCCAGCACTCCATTCGCAAGGTGGCAAGCCCAGGGATGCTACCTCTGGTAATGGAGGTGGCACATTTGCCATTTATCTGTATCTGGTGTCCTCAACCTGCAGGAGCAGCCTGGTACAAGGAGATAGAAGCAGACTAGTGAAAATTAGACCCACTCTGGAAGTGCTTTCTGCTAAGGCTGATCCACCATCGGATACAACCCAAAGTGCGATGTAAAAAATAGAGCACTCCACGTTACGTAACACTTTGAAAAGTACTGCATTCTTTCCAAAGCAAAATATTCAGATAGTATTCAGAACAGAAGCACAGTCTTGTGTTGAGCTGCTAGTGTCTGACTCTACTTTGGTTTTCATGCTCCCCTTTTTCCTTCTTACCCACACTACCTGGTAGTTTGTGTTTGACAGTGTGCTGAGTTTTCAGCAAGCATTTAAAGATGGAGGCCGCTGACAGGTATGTTAGTCTTGGATTTTAGATGCTTAATAGAAAGTTTGTCTCTCTTCAGGGGCACATGAATACTTCCAACAAGTAAACTAAGGGAAACTTTGGGAAGAATACAGAGAAATTTGCAGTGCTCCATCTCCTGTTAAAGTGTTGTGTTCCCATTCTACAGCTACTTGCTTGTAGTCCATGAGTTTTGTCATTGGCCAGCAGAAATGACTCATTTGCAGGGCAGCCAGTTACGTACAAGGGCTAAGGCGCATTGGTAAATCAGTCATAAGACCATAGAAGAGCAGAAATGGAAGGGGCCATGTTGCCCATCAAGTCCAACCCTCTGCTGTTGCAGGACACCATGTTACACCATCCCACTCAGAGGGCTGTTCAGTTTCTTCTTGAATGTCTCCGGTGTGGGAGAGCCCACCAGCTCTCCAGGCAGCTGGTTCCAGTGTCATATTGCTTTGGCAGTGAGGAAGCTTTTCCTGATGTCCAGCCTGAATCTGGGTAGTTGCAGCTTGACTTAATTATTCCATTTCCTACATTCCTACATCTCATGTCCCCCCTCAGTCTTCCCTTTTCAAGGCTGAACATGCCTAGTTCTCTCAGTCTCTCCTCACAGGGCAGTGTTTCCAAACCCTGGATCATCTTTGTTGCCCTCCGCTGGACCCTTTCTAAGTGTTTGAATTAAACCATTAACTTCCTGGGTTCAGTGGCTTTTCAAATAGACAGTAAGTTAAAAGTCTTTGAGCACGTGCTCTGGTAACAGATTCCCTGCATTAGGAACGGGACTGAACTAGAGAGGTCCCTTCCAACTCTGATGAGGTGATTCAAATGAAACACTTACTGCCTAGGATAGGCGGCCTAGAGCAGGGGTGGCGACCGATGGCACGCGTGGCGCAGTGGGCACGCAGAGCCCTCTCTGTCGGCACGCGAGCCAAGTTGCCCAGCATCGCCCCAGCAGCCGGGCATCAGATAATAGTGCACACAGGGGCCATGCGCACGCTCGGAAAGGACTAGTGGTGCCAGGTGGTGACGTCACGAACCGCGGCTCATTAGCCACATCTCGTCTGAGCTTCCACATGGTCAGTCAGTGCACTGCCAGAGACATATATATATTTGCTTGGACTGGCTGTGAGCTGTTTTTTCTAAACTAAAACCTTGGTATTCAGGTTTCACTGCAGTGTTGGCACTTTGTGATAAATAAGTGGGTTTTGGGTTGCAGTTTGGGCACTGGGTCTCTAAAAGGTTCGCCATCACTGGCCTAGAGCCTGCCAGGTGTTTCGGACTACCATTTCCATCAGCCTATCTAGTCAGTGGTCATGCAGCTCGCTGTGCAGGGTTTTCCCTGTCCCTCCCTCCCTGAGTGTCTTGTGAAGATTCGCTCTGGAAGAACATAGAAACAGAGCGAGTCAGAAGGGGTCTCCTGGGCCATCTAGTCTGACGCCCGGCTCCAGCCGGCTCCGCTCACGCCATGCCCACCATGTGCACGTCCAGCCTGTCCTTGAACACCCGCACCGATGGGGCCCCAACGACCTCCCGTGGAAGCCCATTCCACACTCTCGGGGTCCTGAATGTCAGGAAGTGTTTCCTGGCATCCAAATTGAACCTGGGTTCCCTGAGCTTTGCTCCATTGGAGCGCGACCTGCCCTCCTCTGCAGGGGAAAACAGGTCTCTACCCACCTCTGCAGGGGAAAACAGGTCTCTACCCACCTCTGCAGGGGAAAACAGGTCTCTACCCACCTCTGTGTGGCACCCCTTCATTTACCTATATGTTGCCAACATATCTCCTTGGGTCTCCTCCAGGCTGAAGAGACCCAGTTCCCTCAGTCTCGCCTCATACGGCATCCCCTGCAAACCGGCCCCCAACCTTGTGGCCTTTCGCTGCACTGACTCCAACCTGGCTATATCCTTTCTGTAATGAGGAGCCCAAAACTGAGCACAATACTTCAGTTTCAGGCGCACCAGAGTCGTGCAGAGTGGTAGTAATACCTCTCTCGATCTAGAAGCCACACTTCTGGCTATGCAACCAAGGGTGGCGTTCGCCCTCTTGGCCACTGCATCACACTGCTGGCTCATGTTTAGCCTGCAGTCGACCAGCACCCCGAGGTCCCTTCCACAAGTGCTGCTCTCCAGCCACTTGTCCCCTAACCTGTACTTACGACACCCATTCCTGTGCCCCAAGTGCAAGACCTTGCACTTCTCCACATGGAACGCCATCCTGTTGTCTCCTGCCCACTTCCATAGTCTGTCCAGATCCTTTTCGATCCAGAGTACCTGCTCCTCAGTTGTGGCCACTGCTCCAGTTTTAGTATCGCCTGCAAATTTGATCAGCAGACTGTTCAGCCCTTCTTCCATGTCATTTATGAAAAGATTAAACAGGATCAGCCCCAGGACAGAGCCCTGGGGGACCCCGCTTGTCTCTGGCCATAATCCTGACGATTCCCCACTAATGGTTGCACCAATATATAAGAACAATGTAAAGGAGATGATTTTTGAATTGCTTTAGTCCTCACAGCTTTGGAAAGGGGAAGCATAAGTCTTTTTGCTTGTTTTAGTCTAGGGTTGCTTTCTGGACTGTCCCCGATAAAATAGTGTTTTTATATTTCCTCAGGCCATTAGTTTTCAGGCACTGTGTGATAAGTTATCAGCTGCAAAAGTATTCAAATGTCTGTATCTGCCATACACAGTTTGTAAGGTGGGTTATTCGATGGACCTTCAGAACGCAGCCCTAGTGGCTGGCAGCATTTCTGGCAGGAATGGGAAAGGGGGCCTTTTGGACAGCTGCTCCCAGAACCTCGGGACCCAGGCCAGCTCTGCCCCTGTTGACCTACTGCTGTTGGTAAAGATGGTATCATTGGCGCTGACCGTTGGCTTAAGCTGACCTGTTTTCTCACATAGATTTGATCTGGCATGTTCTATTTGTTCTTTTGCTATTGATCTCTCATTGGTTTTATTAGTTTGTTTTCGTATTTTACTCTTGTTAACTGTCTTGAGCATTGTTTTAGTGAAAGGCAGGATATAAATTTGATAGAAATGGACTGCCACAATGTTCTTGGCACAGTAGCGCGTTCTTGTGGAGCAGTCTTGGCACTCTGCGTGCATTTAAAGGCACCCTTTTCTTGGCGGCATAGAAATCCCAGTTTAGGGAAAGGAGGAACTTCTTGAAAATTGTAGCCCTGCCAGTGCTGACAATCATCAACAGCCACTAACCAGTCCACATATTTGCCCAGAACATCAACAGAAAGCTGACTTACGAAGTTCTGGAACCCCTGCCAATAGCATGGGCCGCCTGCTGTCTGTTGCACAGTACGTTCTGTTCAGTATTCCACTTAAGGAGCCGATTGGCAGTTCTTTGACTCTCCTTGTTCGTTCTGCTGCAGGTGGTGTTTGGTTTGGCTGTTGTGAAAGCACAAAGAGAATTTTATTTCCGTACTCAATCCCATTTCTGGATTTTGGTACCTAGTGTATATCTAGCTTTGTTGTGCTGGTATCTCAAGTCTATTTTATTTATATATTGCTTTTACATGAAAAGGGGAAAAATGGTTGCCCATCCTCCCTTGCACCTGATGGCTGTACCTGAAGGGGATATTCTGTTTGACCTGGTAGGGAGCTCAGCGGAATGAGCTTCATGCATCAATGGATTGGCATGGAGTGGAACCCTCTAAAGGCATGGCAGGGGGACACAGCATGGGTCTTGCTGCAGTGCTCTTTGCGCAGCTGTCCAGAGGATCCTGCTGCTCCTGGGAGAGCGTATGGTCAGGCGCTAGGCTTTAGCAGGGCGTGACTAACAGGCCACTGCCCCTGTGGCTCCTTCCTTGCATAAGACGGGGCGATGCTATCAGGCTCCGTTGACTTCGTGGCCTGCCACGTGTAACATCCTATGATCAATTGCACACTCTTAGCGTAAAAGCTGTTTGTCTGGGGCTACCCCATTCCTAGACACCACCATGGGCACCAAAGGATCGGCTCTTGCCCATTTATGTGTTGCTTTTAAAAAATACTTTATAAACTGCTGTGAGGAAGTGTTATTTTAAAAAGTGGTACAGAAATATTTTCAGGAATAATGCTTGAAGGACTGCTTCTTTCCTTCTGTTTATTCATTTATTTCATTTCTGTGCCACCCAATAGCCAAAACTCTTTGGATGGTTTACAAGAATTCCTTGCAATCTGTGTTTTGGGTGGATGCTGGTACCTTCATCTGAGGCTCTTGTTCATTTACCTCTGCCAAGTGAGGCACACAGGTCACTGCCAATGAGAAGGACCTTCCAACAGTGGTGCCCAGGCTGTGGAATGCGCTTCCCAGAGAGTTCCACCTGGTACTCAGTCTAACATCCTTTCTCCACCAGGCAGATAATGTTTTTGGCTTTCCATGCTGTTTAAATCTTGTGGTATTAAACTGTAGCATCTTAACTGCTGTTTGATATGATTTCCTCTTTGTTGTTATGTGTGGGTTCCTTACCTTACCTCTTGATGATTTAATGCTGCACTTTATCACATGTTTATTGCATTCTATCTTTTTAATTTATTTTGTTTAGTTTTGTGAGCTGGCCAGAGAAGTCCATGAATACGATAAATAGATAAAATATGCAATTAGAATAAAATGCATTTCCTTTCTGTCTTTTAGTTGTTCAGAAGGAAAACTTTTGACTTGAAGTGTGTAGCTGACTTCAATTTAACTGTCAGCATTTTTGTAAAGAAGTGGAAGGCAGCTTCCCAGTCAGATAAAGCAGGAGCTAGCCTTCGAACGCTTACCTGTGATACTCCAGCCTTGCAAGGAGCCACAGGACCCCCTTGCTATGGCTGCTCCACATTCAGAATGAGAATCCCACAAGAGGGTTGTGCAGGAGTGAGTAGAAGATGACCTGAATGCAAAATGTGCTGTACCAATCTCTCCCTCTCCCTCTCTCTATTAGCAAAGTCCAGTAGAAAGCTTACCTTCCTCTACTTGGCAAACGACGTCATCCAGAACAGTAAAAGGAAGGGACCTGAGTTTGCAAGGGAATTTGAATCTGTTCTTGTGGATGCTTTTTCACATGTTGCCAGGTGGGTATCACTACCTCTCTCTTCCTCAATTTTGCTCTGAAGGTGTTTAAAGATTCATAGTTTAATATTGGGGATGCTTGGCCAGCTAGTCCTAGTTCCCAGAAATGGAGTCGGCACCAATTTCCTTTCCTACAGAAGCAACTGTTCTTGGCTGTCAAGGAAGAAACTTAGGGGATGTGCAGGACCCGGGTTCGGTTTGTTGGGCTACCTGTCCTGGTTCAGACCAAAGAGGCCATCACCCTTTCTCCCCAAAAGTTGACTAGGCAGCTGCCGCTAGGAGACCTGGAAAGGGAGCCAGAGAGAGGTAATGGCAGTCTCCTTCTCCTTGCCCCTGCACCAGATTGTCCGTTCAATGGTGCTTCTGTCTGGTGGGACATTTTAGCGCTTTATGCATTTAGACGAAGCTAGTGGCAAGCTCTTCTGAACTATGTGGTTGCTTAGTTGTCTTTTGCAGTTAGAGATGATGCCAAGCATGGGTTTAATTCAGCTAAATTCACCTGCTGTCAGGTGGAACTAGTCAATAGAAAAGGTAATCGCAGGTGAGATCTTTTCTGGAGAATTCCTCCTAGATCACAAGGCAGGAGAGAAACGAAGGTCAGTGCAGAGGAAAAGTGCAGGGTGGGCACATTCTTGCGTGCGTGTGTTTGCTTTTCCTGTTGCTTGTTGAACTGGTCAGGTGCAGGTTTCATTAGGAATGGTGCATCCCCTATCTAGGAACACGTGACAATAAATAGGACCTTGATGGTTTTTAAAGCAGTAAATAATGTTCAGGTTAAGGCTCTTTTCTTTGTTTCTTCTGGACATCCTGCTGTTCTTTGTAGTTTCTGGATTTTTGAATCTTGCATGAATCAATCTTTCTTTCTTTCTTTCTTTCTTTCTTTCTTTCTTTCTTTCTTTCTGTCCATCCTCCCTCCCTCCCTCCCTCCCTCCCTCCCTCCCTCCCTCTCTCTGAAAGAGAGAGAGAGAGAGAAACAGTAGTGGGAAGAGAGTAAGCGAACCTTTCAGTGCTGGTGGCATCTGCCCTGTATTTTCTGCCTCCCCCTGAAGGATGTGTGAACTGGGCACTCCTCCACAGTGATCCCGATTCACACAAAAGCCTGCTTATATCACTTGGCTTTTTGGAAGGAAGGAGACGGGTCAGTCCCGCGAACAGGATGTCTGCATGATCAGGTGGGGGTGTGATGCGCCTGACCCAGTGCTCTTTCGAGAGGTACGGCAGAGGGAAGGGAAGGCCTTGACAGAAAATGGGGTGCAGGAGAGAAAGAGACCAAAGAGTGCTCCAAGTGAAAGGTGGGGAGCACACCAGAATTTCCCAGCCAAAGCATCATCTCTGGGCTTTGAGTCCCTCCCAGAATGTGAAGTCGCTCGCTTAATGTGCGGCTGCTTTACTCCTGGATTTAACTGGACATTATGTTTGATCTTTCCACATGGTAGAAATGTTCTGAGATTTCAGCAAATCTAGCTTCCCTTTGATCTGTTATTTGAAGAGTTATAACTGTGGCAAACACATTATCCAGTGGAGTATTCCCTACAGAAATTTCAGCTTGTTTCCATCAGACCCACAGCTGACAGCCTGGTACAACTGCCAGCGATCCCGCTGTCTTCGCTCTGTCTTAACACCATTTTAAGTGAGGTCAGCTTCTCAAATGCTATGGATTTATCCAATTTTCCCCCAGATTGTCTTTCTGCTCGGTTCACTCCATCTGCCATTGGGTGACTGTTCTTTCACTGTCGGACGAGCTACAAATGAGCAGCTCTGGGCCATTTCCTGATGTGCAGGATGTTATCAGCCAGTTAAAGGCTATGGCACTATTTAAGGTAGATCTTAAGCCTGCAGGCTGATTCTGCCTAGAACACACACACAGGGGCTGGGTGAGCAAGGGTGTTCTGGGTAACTCTATGCCCAGTGTGTGCCAGGGATCCTTAGACATTCCTTTGCGTTTCAGATGGCCTGTTTTACATGCAGTGCATACACGTGAACACTGGGGAAGCCTGGCTCTTTCCCTGGCAGTTTTACCTGTGCGTCCATCTGTGGAACATGTATGGAAGGAGAAGAGCGGGGCGGATGCTCCCCGGCGCTCTTTCCCACAGACACCCCTTTCCCGCGCATGTGGCCTTTTAACCAACTTGCTTAAATATCTGACCTTCCAGGGAGGCAGACGAGGGCTGCAAAAAGCCCTTGGAACGATTGCTGAACATCTGGCAAGAAAGGAGCGTGTATGGCAGCGAATTCATACAGCAGCTGAAACTGTCCATGGAGGACTCTAATAGTCCCCAACCGAAAGGTAAAAATATGCTTGGCTTTCACAAGATCTTCGGCTGAGCTGTCATGAGCTGGAAGCCTGATATATAACACACCGTGATTTATGGCGATGCACCCGGTGCGCTGTTTTGTACTGGGGGGTGGGGGCTTTTTCGCCCTCATCAGCTGGTGACAGTCCGCATATCTGCATGGCTTAAGCACCTCTGTTTTGTGTCCCGCTTGTTTATATTCCTTATCAGGAGTGTTGGTGATGTTAAATTTGTGTCCCGGTTTGCCTGCAGGGAGCTCAGAGGCCTGCATGTTGTGGCAGGTGGTCTGTTGCGCTGTGCCAAGCTGCACCTCGGCGCAGAGGTGGGCGGAAAGGAGCGCAGGGCCTGTGTCACCACCACCGTTGCCCTCACATTTATATCCTGCCGTTTTTCCTTTCATGAGGAGTCCCAGGCGCTTGCATTGCTCCGGCAGCAGCCCTGGGAGGTGGGTTGGGCAGAGACTGCTGTGTGAGGGGGCCCCAGAGCTGCTTGGTGCTGCTACTGGAAACCGGAGGCTGGGCTGGGAACTCTCCTCATTGCAAGTCCACTGTCTTCTGCCACTGGCTCTTGCATCTTGGTGTTCTGTGGTACAGCAGAGGTGATCCCTCCAGCCTGAGCTTTGCACCTCCCCTCTGGGGTTATGGTGAATCATAAGAACACGGGATGCTGCCTTAGAACTGGAAGGAATCAAGAAGGCTGTCAGGTCCAGCCAGCGGCTCAGTGCTGGAGAAGCCGTGGCGATTGTGCACCAGCACTTGGGGAAGATTACTTTGGCAACCCCGCTAGATGGGCAGGGTTTCCCCAGTCACAAACAGAAGTCCCTCCCAGCGCCTGCTGCCCGATCCTTGCAGCAGGAGGTGCTGGGTGAGACTCGTGTCCCAGGACACTGCCAGAGGTAGGGCGCAGGGTGCATTGCGCTCCCAGATCCACGGTCAGGAACCGCTCCAGCCTCGGCGCTAGGAATCCGTTCTCTGCGTCATCCCTTGCCAGCTGCTTCCTTGTGGTGGGGAACACAACTTCAGAGGGGGGTAAAGCGCATTCTTTGGAGGGGGGGAGATTTCAGAGGCCGTGCGGTGACATATCCTGGGTCCTCTGCAGCCTCTCCTGCTCCCCGAAAAGCCCCAGCTGGGCGGCTGAGACGGCCATCTTGCTGAAGTGCGGAGCTGGGAGTCAGGGGCTGCATCTGCGGGCGCTCGGAAGCTTCCAGGCTTGGGGACCCCGTAGTCCCCAGGGTGCAGCCTGTAGGAGTGTAATCCTGCTGCCACCTCTTCTGGGGAGAGGCCCATGTCTCCTCCTCGTTGTCACAAGATGCCCGCGCTCTCGTTGGCTTGGGTGGTGGTCCCAGGGTGCAAAGTGCTCTGGCTAATGATGGCTCCTCACTCGCAGTCGCAGAGTGCCGCCACTGCCTGCGATGCTTTGGAGGCTGACATGAAAAGGGAGTTCCTGCCCGGAGGAGCCTGAGCTCCAGGTTTCAAGGGCGGAGCAGGGAAGCAGGGGTCCCTGGGGATCCAGCCGGGCAGTGACGCGGCCCTTGTGGGCGCCGGGGCCTGAAGAGTGGCCCCTGGGGCAGATGCGGGCCCCTTGGCCATTGGGCACTTGCCTGTCGTTTGCTGGGCCACCACCGTGTGACTGCCCCCTCGGCGCTGGAGCAGGGGGACACGGCTCGGGCTGGGCTTCTCCCTGTGGGGGATCTGCATGTCATTGCCGCAAGCTTCTTCCAGCGAGTAGGAGGTGAGCCAGCGCCAGCTGGTCTCTGATCGTTCCCCTTCTGCCAGAGCCTTTAATGATGTGCTCTCTAGCATCACGGTACTTGAGAGAGGTGCTTGGGAGGAGCGCCCCGCCAGGGTTCTCTCCTTTTGGGTTGTTTGCCTTTTGTTGCTGGAGGGGAAGCGCTGGCCTGAGTGAGGAGACGAGCACGTCTGCTTCAGGAGGCTGTCACTGGTGCCCTGGAAGCCAGCCAGGAACACCTGACCCCTTTGTAGACGGTGGCAGCAGATGCTCTCAGGCCAGCTTGCGCGCCGTCCTTCTCTCGGTGGTGCCAGATGCTGCTTTCCTTCCAGGCAAGATTTCTGAGGACGCGTCAGGCATCCCTTGCCCTCCAGCCATTAGCCATCTGGATCCCGGTTCCTACCTGCCAAGACATGCCAGCAGTTGTACATGCCGCGAGAAGCAGGCGGTGCCTCGGGCACGACTAAGGCGTTGCCTCGGCCAGTGCTGTCCTCCGCTCTGGAAGGGAGGCTTCTGAGCTGCCCCTCCATCTCCTCACCGATCTTGGCAGAGGAGGGAGGTGTGCGGAGTACGTGATGATACCCCAGCATCCTTTCAGATGCAGGTTCATAGCGATGAGGCACCACCAGATCATCCCACCCCCTTCCTCTGTGGAGCTGGCTCTGTGGTGAAGTGGACAGAAACGGCTTTCTTCTTTGGACTTCCGCCCACCCCCCGCGCAGCTCCCTGCGGTGCCTCCCCACTCGCCATGTGCTGCATGTTTGAGCGATCCTGATGCAGAACGGTGCCTCCCCCACACGCAAAGGTCCTTTTCGGGATCGTAGCCCTGCTGGGAGGAGTCAGCCGGCAGCCCCCACGGCCGGGTTGTGGCAGCAGCTGAGGCTGGGTCTTTGCAAGGACTGACTTGTTTCTAGTGTTCAGCACTGGTCTCTCCAAAGGTGGTTTAGCTTTGCTTTGCTGCGTTCCCTGATGTTTATGGGCGAGGGTGTGTCCAGAATCGTGGGGCATAGGCACTGGAATCAGGTTTCTCTTGGACTGACAGGTGCGCCTGGAACACACTGCAGCTCATAAGAGTGACGTCCACTTCATGGTGCGCAGGGCTTGCACTGCAAACAGTTGTCGGGGAGGCCGCCTGTGTGGCCATGGCTGAGCGCCACCGCACCGCCTTGGAACACCGGTGGCCGGCAGTGTGGCCTCAGGGGGAGGAGGTGTGGCTCCCAAGGAAGCAGCGGGACGGTGCACTCTGCGCCTGTTCAGGATCGCGCCATGTTTACCGCAGGCGAAGTGCTCACTGTGCAGGTGCTTGTAGCGGGCATGGCAGTGCCCACATTCCTGCCCCGGGCTTCTCCCGCAGGCTTCCCTGCTACTCCTGCACCTTGAGGCAGGCGTGGATGCCTCCAGGGTCTGGGGCCATGTTCCCCGGCCTGGCACCTTCCAGATGTGCCGGCCCCCAGCCCCACCACCCCGTGCCAGTGCAGCATTGATTGGGGCGGGAGGAACACAGACCAGCCCGTCGGAGGGCTCCCGGTGGGCAAGGCTGTCGGGATGCCCCGTGAGCGCGGGCCCACCGCCTGTCTGCGGCTTCAGAAGCCGCCTCCACGTGGGCAGGCGCTGTTGCTGGCAAGGCAGCTTTCGGGCATCGCGTGCTTACGGCGTTGGTGCTGAAGGCCGCGCGAGCATAGATGAAAGGGCCGCGCGGGCTCCCCCTTCTGTGTCGCAGGAGCTTCTGCCTGCCTGGGAGACATCTGGGGCCTTTCCACCAGTTCCCGGAGGCACCCGGTGTGGTACTTTCCTGCACAACGTTGCCGGAGAAGACTTTCCTGCAAGTGCTGGGCGCTCCTGGCGGAGTTGTCTTTACAGCAGATCTGGCGGCCGAGTCTCCATAAAATGGCAAAGGCCCCCAGCTGAGTAGTTCCTGCAGGTGGTCTTCTCAGTGCGCTCCCCAGGCCAGGAGAAACGGGAGCGCTGAGGCCGCGCATCCCTGTCTTGGCGATAGCGGGCTTGCCGCTCCATCTGATGAGCGGACACTGGAGTACATGGAGTTGGCTTGGGGGAGAGCTTCTGATGCTAAGGATGATTTTTTAAATTTCAAGCGTGCTCAGAAAGAAAAGAGAAGGAAGCAGTGACCACATTGTTGAGGCTTTGTGTGGGGTGACATGCTTCCTGCGTCTGAAGGCATGCGTCTGTTCTCAGTTACAGAAGAAAAGAAGTCACTGAAGCGGACGTTTCAGCAGATCCAAGAAGAGGAAGATGATGACTACCCTGGGAGCTACTCCCCGCAGGATGCCAATGCCGGGCCCCTTCTGGTATGCCTGGAAGCCTGGGGGCTGGAAATGTATTGAACCCCTCCACCCATCAGGAGAGGGCCACAAGATGGCGCCATTAGCAAGTGGAGGAGAGCTAATACTGCCATTTAGTGGCCTTGTGATCCTCACAAGCAGAGGAAAGAATGTGAAACATGGTAAAAAGGAACATAAAACAAATATTATTCCCCAAAAGTGTCATATTCAAACCAAAATAAAGTAAATTGCCCAAAACAAGGCAGTCTATTGCAACCCAGCAGGCTGTGATTTAAATCACATAACTAATAGATAATTCCAGAAAGTTCACTAAACCTTGATTTCTGCCCTTCTGAGCAAATAGGCAGCTTTTCCTTGGGTCAGGCAAAGTCATTCAGATCTGCAGTTGCAATTCAGTGTAAGGATGGCTTGTTGGCATTGCTCGAGATGCAAATATTGGCAGAACCGATAACAGGTGTGGCCAGACCTGCTCTGTCAGGTGTGCAGTGGAGCCTGCAGGTAGTGGGCAAGGAGCTGGGGAACCCCAAGTAGCGGAGACCCTGCTTGCCCAGTAGTCGTGTTGGGAGCAGGCCAGCTTGGCCAGTCTAGAGGGCAGCCAGCAGGGCCCTGTCCTGGAGCCTGGGGAACGAAGGCTAGCCTTGCAGGAGCAAGCAGGGGGACTCCCGGGCTGGACCAGCGCAGGGTGTGGTGGCAGCGAGCTCTGCTGCATCACCCTCGCGTGGCCGATTCAGCCTGGCAGCCCCGTGGGTCCCCAGGGGCTCTGCGCCTTCATCCGGCCGGGCCGTAACCCTGCTGAGCCCAGCGTGTTCTCTGGGGCAGCTTTGTGATGTGGCCAAGGTTTATCGGGTCCTGGAATTTCGATCCCGACAGGGTGTGCATGTGTGTATTCAGCTTCAAAGAAAAAGGAGGAGGAGGAGGAGGCTGAAGAGTCCGTTTCAGGCTCTGGAGGAAAGGAGAAACACGGCAAGGGATTCAGGCTTCACCCACCAAAGTCCCAGAGCTTTTCTTGATCCTTCTCCTCATTGCATTTCTCCCCTTTCTCTTTCTGGCAATAGCAGCCTGCCTTAAAAAAAAACAAGCAAGCAAGCAAAGAAAGCAGAGAAGAGACTTGCAGGTCAGGAATGCATGCAGCTTGCAAGTTCCTGCGGTCTTCTGAAGGGGCTGCTTTCAGTGTTTGATGGATTGGTCGGATGTTGCTTGCAGTTCCCTGAATGTAGTCGCGCACTTTTGGGCAAAGGGTTTGAGCTGGCCAGCGGCACCTTTGATCTTGCATTCCAGTTCAAATTCCAGAAGCTGTACCTTCTGTCTTCCGAAAATATTATGGAATTAACCCAGCTGGTATCAAAATTTATGTACAGTGTGTCAGGGGTTCCCCCACGTGGCACCCACAGAGGTCTCCCTACCCTGCCCCCTTCAGAAGAAAATTGTTTGAAAAAAATCTTGGCAAATGTTAGGGCAGTCTTCTTTCCTCTCTCCTCCTCTCACCTCTGCCCCATTGCTTTGGGATTCCCACCCCCCCGCCCCTGTGTGGCCCAACCCCCCCCCCCCCCGCCACGTCCTCCAACCTGGTGCTTGTTCCTCCTCGTGGCCTTGCTGTCCCCCTTCCTTCCTACTCTTGAGCTGCACCAGCTCTCCCTCGGCCTCCCCCTTGCTCATTCTTCCTACTCCCAGATTCGAGCCTTGCTCTTGCTCTTCCCTCTGCCCCTTTGCCTAGCTATCCCCCCCCCGCCTCGAGCAGAACACCCCCTATTTCTCTCTCCCCTGCCCCTCCTTAGCTCACTTTTGACTAGCCAGGCCTTAGGTGACCAGGCACGTCCCCGGGGGAGCCACGCTGTGGCAGTGCCCGGTTGCTCAAATGCTCCCTGGCCGAGCATGCTGGGGGCCCTGCTTCATGCTCTGCTCCAGTGGACAGGGCTGCATGGCCTCCCTCATCCTCCATTAAATTCAAGAGCAACTGGCACAGGACCAGCCTTCAGGAGTGTGGCTCCTTTTCTGCTAGGAATGCGCAGTGTGTCATGCTGCAACTGGTTCCCCGGGTGACTGGGGAAAGCCCCAAGCGGGGGCTGAAGGCAGTCACCTGTCCCCCTGCCCGTGAGCGTGGCAGGTCCCCCTTAGAGCTCTCGAAGCTGAAGGTCATGGGTGCATTTTGTACCGGGGGTTCCGAGACCTAGTGGTGTTGTCGGAGTAAGACCTTGTTCAGTATGTCCCAAAATCCTCTCTGCCTAGGGCACATGGTGCACAGGAACTGAAGTGAAGTGTGTGTGGTTGGGGTTTTTTGCTGTTGCGGGTTTTTGCTTTTTTACTGTGTGTGACCATCGCTGCTCTGTCATGTTGTCTGAACCAAGGCATGGTATTTCACCACGGTAAGTTTGGTCTTTAGAAACCAAGCTGGAACAATGGTTTGCTCAGTTGTGTCTTTGTATCCCCATGGCTTGTTGTGCTGTTCAGACCCAGGCCCTGCTTTCCACAGACCTGGCGCGCAACTAGCCCGGGGCCTCTGGAAAGGGTGGCAGCTGCAGGAGCTGGTGCAGCCACCCAGCCTCGAGGCATGGGACAGTGGCGGGGAGGCGGTGGGTGAGGCGCCTGGGGGAATTGCAGGCCCCGTGGCCGGTGGAATACATGCTGGCAGTGGGAAGACTTAGTGGGACCCACGGGTTCAGAAGCTCTTTTGGGGTTTCGGGAGCACATGCAGAGAACTTGAAACGACTGCTTCCAGCGTACAACGAAAGCAGCATAGCAAGCGTGTGCCTGCACACCGAGAAGCTGCAGGATCTTTGAGAAGGGACTGCACCAGGAGCCCATGGCGCATGTGGCATTTGGAGGCAGTCCCTGCAGCCTTCTTGTCTCTCGACTGTGCAGACCGAGGACTTGGTCAGAGCCCTGCAAGACCTGGAAAATGCAGCATCCGGAGATGCCGCAGTCCGGCAGAAAATCGCCTCTCTTCCCCAAGAGGTCCAGGATGTGTCGCTGCTGGAGAAGATTACAGGTGAGGATCTAAAGCACCGACAGGTGAATGCGGAGGGCGCGATCCAGCTTCTCCACTCTGGAAATGCGGCCTGCATCGTGCTTGGTTTGCCGAGGTCTGGTTTTAAGGTGCCCCCCCGGGGGGAGGGGGCAGAAGGTGAATAGAGGGTGCCGTCTTTTCCTGTGCCATGGACCCCAGTGTGGCCCGGGTGTTGCTGGCCCTCCACCATCACCTGGCTCCCCGCCCCTTTTCCTCTTTCGGGGGCGCAGTTGTTCAAGCGGAGAGCGCCAGCCCCAGCTCCTCACTGAAAGAGCGGTGGCTGCTCGTTGAGGCAGGCGGTCACCGGGAAAGGGGAACAGTGCCGGGCACGCTGCCAGGACTCACAACTTCCCCTCGACCCGGGGGACGTTTGCCGAGCTCCCTTCCCCGGCCCTTGGCCCTTCAGGCTGGCTCTGCAGGGTGCTTCGTGGGGGAGCAGAGCGTCCGCTTGCCGTGCGCAAAATGGGCCACCTGGGGAGCTCTTCAGAGCGGGCGCTGGTGGCCCACATGCGCTTGCGCCTCGGAGCTCTGTCTCTCCAGGTGGTGCTGGAGTTTTTCAGCTCTGCTGGGCTCAGGCGGCACACAAGACCGGGGGGTGCCCGGGCGCCTTAGTGCGGCTGCCACCAGGCGGGATCCACACCTTAGCCAGTTCCCCCAGCTGGCCTTCGGCCCCCTCTGTTTGCGGAGTGCTCTCCCTGCTTCCTGGGAGCCCCTCGGTTGCCGGCGCTGCTTGGGTTTCCCGAAACGCCCCCCCCCCCCCCGGCCATTCGCATAAAGGTCAGGAGGCGCCCGCGGTTTTCCTCAGCCTCTGCTCCCGGATCATCGCCTCTTGCCACACGTGGAATTCTCTCGGCTGGACTTCACCCCAGTCGCGAGGCTGACTGATGGGGAGCTGGCTCTTGTCACCAGCACAAAAGCTTCTGAATGGAGCCGGTGTAAATGATTTGCCGCCTTTGTGTGCAGACAAAGAGGCAGCGGAACGCCTTTCGAAGACCGTGGACGAGGCATGTTTGCTGCTTGCGGAGTACAATGGGCGGCTGGCAGCAGAGCTGGAAGACCGTCGCCAGCTGGCGCGCATGCTGATCGAGTACACGCAGAACCAGAAGGACGTGCTGACAGAGAAGGAGAAGAAGCTGGAGGTGAGCATCGCTCCTGCGCTCGGAGCTGCCCTTCCTCGAGGCAGAGGCTTCCTCGGATGGCGCCGGCTCCTCTGACGCACCGGCCTGGGGTGGCCTGGCCCCGCAGCGTGGCTTCCACGGTCGTGCGCGAGCCGCTGCACATGCCTGTGCCTCCATGCACCCATGTTGGAGGGTGCTGCCGGCCCCCGTGTGTAAGCACGCAAGCGCGGTGACGCTTTCATCCTGGGACCGCGTGTGTGTGTGCTGCGCAGCGTCACCGGCCCCTGCCCGCCCCAGCTCTCCCCCAGGGGGAGGCCATTCTCTGGGCCGGGTGCCAGAAGATGTAGGTCGGGCTCCCAGCATTTCTCCCCCTTTGGAGGAGCAGCAGGCCCCTCGCTCGTGGCGCTTGGTGCGGCTTGGTTTTGATGCTCCTGGCCTGTGGCCTCAGCGACTGCCTGTGGCGGGGGCTCGTTCCCCATCTTGGGGGCCCGCTGACGCTCGATCAGCCGAAGCGCTGGCAAGCCTTGTTCCACTGGATGTTGTCACCTAGTTGGGCAGATGGTAAAAACGCCTTTGCTTGAAGGAGTTTATTCATTTATTTAAAATGTGTGTGTCCCGCCCTTTGCAGTGTCTCAGGGCGGCAATAACATAACCGGGGAAACAAGCAATGGCTGGAAATAGACTTTGGCCATGGACTGCAGCTCCACGGAGCCTCGGCGTGGGCAGAGGAGGCCCGGGCATCCCTGGAGGCCCCTTGCAGCTGGTCAGCGTGTGCTGCTCTGCACCCTCGGACCCGCACGGGGGTGCCAGGGATGACTCTGCGTGCGAGTCCCGCCGCCCTCTGCTGCGCCGCCCGGGGCGCCAGATTAAGAGTCTCCGGAGGGTGTCAGGCACTGACTGTTAGGAGCAGCTGTTCTGGGGTGGGACAAGGGTTCTGGAGGGGACCGAGCTGCCCAGGACACTGGACAGGGGCCCCGACGGAGGCCTGTTATGGGCAGGCGTTGTCTTCTCAGGAGCTGCACGTTGCTCCCGCCTTTCGCCTGGCCCTTACTCTTGGCTCTCACCCAGTACCTACATGAGGTGTTGCCGCTGGTGGAGGGCAGCCTTGTGCTGCAGTGCCAGGTGAGGCTGCTGGAGGGCTGGAGCTCGCTGCTGAGAGGAGAAGAATGCTGTTGAACCAGCTGGTTGGCCTGCTGTGGGCAAAGCACGCCCCCCCCCACACACACACACACCCAGTCTGGGAGGTCATGGCTCTGGCACAGCCGTGGGACTGGTGCTTCCGGGCCGGCGTTTGAGAGTCCCTTCTGCCCGTGGCCGTGCCGCGCCGCGCCTCACACTGTCTCCCTGTGCAAGCGCAGGAGGCTCCCCTGAGCTCTCAGGCTGTTCGGGTCCACAGGGTCTGGCACAGCATTATGCACCCCTGTGCATGAATGCGCCTTACAAAACAGGCTGCCATGCCTCCCAGTCCACTAGATCATGGGTCCTCAAACGATGGCCCGCCGGCCGGATCCAGCCCGCCGTGCCCATTTGTCTGGCCTGCCTCAGAGGCTTTGGACTCCCTGCGCCCGTGCAACAGTTCACTCACTCAGAGATTGTTTTGGACTTGCAAGTTGCCGCCTCGCACACGTGCTCACCGCACACGTGCCCGCCGCTGCCTCACCAGCCTGTGCCCGCTGCTGCCGCCTTTCAACTGGCCCCCTATTGAAAAAGTTTGAGGACCCCTGCACTAGATTGTGCCCACATCGGAAAAGGATTTGGAAAAAAACCCAGGGTGCTTCTCCCCCAGTGTCCCCTTGCTCATCTCTGTGTTTTGCTGCTTTTCTGGCCTGTGGCATGTCATGCAGAGGTGGGTTGTGACCTTTTCCCCCCAGCATTGCAGGGCAGGACGCGCTACAAGGGAGCAAAGCTCAGGGAGCCCAGGTTCCATTTGGATGCCAGGAAGCGCTTCCTGACAGTCGGGACCCCGAGGGTGTGGAATGGGCTTTCCCGGGAGGAGGTTGAGGCCCTATCGGTGCGGGTGTTCAAGGATAGGCTGGACGTGCACATGGCAGGCATGTGAGCGGAGCCGGCTGGAGCCGGGGGTCAGACTAGATGGCCCGGGAGACCCCCTCCGACTCGCTCTGTTTCGGTGTTTCTAAATGCTGCCTCAGCTGCAGAGTGGCATACTTCAAGCCCTCGGGCAAAGAGCCTCTCTCTCAAGGCTTCTGGCGGAACACCCTGCCTGTGGATGCCCTCTCGTGATGCGAGCCCCCACACGTCGGCAGGCCAGGTGCGCTGCACCTCCTGCCGCACAGGAAGGCACTCCTTGTCCACAGCAGGAACACGCGGTGGAGCCAAGCCCTGCTTCTGGAGAGAGCGGGGAAGAGAACTCTGCCTTCTCTCTGGCGACTGCAGTCGGGATGCACTTTGCTCAGTCTGTAGCGCGCGGATCGGGTAAGAGAAGCGACTGTGCCTCTCCAGGGTGCGCCAGATACTCGGTTGTTTTTTACCCCCCGTGTCATTAAAATAGCTAATCCCTGTCTCTGGGGCTGCAGCTGCCTCTCTAAACACTGGCGGTATAACTCAGAGGCGGCTGACACGCTTGCTCGGCGGCCAAGGCAGAGCCTGCGACTGAGCCCGGTCAGCGTGGAGTGCCAGTGTCTAGTCACCGCCACTGTGGGCCAGGAGGCCTGGGGCCCTGGGCTCTCCCGCGGGGCTTTGTCGCGTTGAAGCACTGACCCAGCCGGCACGCGCTGCCCTGTGAGGCGGCAGGGTGCCAGAGAGCAGGGCTGCAACCGTCTCCTTGCCTTATCGCCGCCAGATTCAAAGGCTGACCGAGGCGTGGAAAGAAACTCATGGTGTCCATCTTCGGAGTGGAAAGAAGCAGGAATGTTTCTTTAAGCTCTGTCTGAAGCAGGGCTTCTAACGCAGTCAGATGCTTCTCCGGTCAGATGTGAAATGGCAAGCAAAACATACCTTGTGCCCTGATGAAAAATCGGTTCCCACCCAGCCATCTGCGTGTGTTCCGCAGTCCAGTTCAACGTACGGAAGAACAGCTGGGGTTCCAAAGCGTTCTTCAGTACAACTCGCATCTCGGAGGACGGAAAAGCAAACGGGTCAGGAAAACACGGGCGTCCGAGAGGCGACAGGGCCCTTTTCCTTAAGGCTTGGCGCCCTTGCTGTGTGGAAGCGCATGCTGTCTCTGCCGAACACGCCTTGGGCTGATTGGGAGCACAGAAGCCTTCCCTGCCGTGCCGTTGAAAGACTTAACTTGGCTGGCATCTTCTTAGCATTCACGCAGCTCTTTGAAATGCCATTCCCAGTATTATCTGGTATTAGGATCAGTGATGTGGGGCAGACATTTTCCCATGCTACATTTTTCTGCGAAAGAATTTCTTCACCTTGTAGGTCTGCGTTTGTCCATACTCGTCTGGGCAGTTGGTGTTGCCATAAAGCATGCTGGATGGAATGGGTGCCAGCGAGGGACTTCCGCAAGTTGCTCTTCTAGGGCAGGCATTAACAAGTCCACGCGCTCTGGTGCTCACGGGGGGAACTGCAAGTTAAGTTGCGGCAACGGCCTCCCGGGCACGAAGCAGAGGGCTCCCGGCTGGGTCTCGGCCAAGTCTTAGCCCTGCTGTATTTGGCAGCGCCTGCTGACACTCCTCAATCGCACACCGAAGGAAGCGGAAGCTGATGCGGGAGTTGCGCTCTGTTTTCACTGAACGATGCAAGAACGTGGGAAGAGCCGTGCCGGGTCAGAGCAAGGGTCCCTCTGGCCCAGCCTTCGGGGGGCCAACCAGCAGCCCGGGGGTTCCCTCAAGCAGCCCCGCCCCACCTTCCCGGCCTGCACCCACAGACCCATGTGCATCCCTGAATGAAGCAGAAGGTTCAACTAGTTCTTCTGAACTGATTTTTCCAAACTCGGGCCGGAACCGACAGGCAGTGTGGAGAGTGAGTGAAGAGGGAGGCCTGACAGCAGCAGAAGCTACACTGCCAAAACTTCTTAGAAATATCTCCTAAAAACAATGTTTCTGGCACAGGCCCTCAACATAAACATAAACATACCCTGCAACTTGAAATGTTTGCAAATTTTTCAGTAAAATAATTTCCACATAAAGGGAGTGAGTCTGTTTCAGTAGTACAGTTAAACTATATTGTATGGTCAGATGAGGAGGAGGAGGAAAAAAAAATATTATTATTTAATTTCTATACCACCCCATGGCTGCAGTTCTCTGGGCAGTTTACAGCAATGTATAAAAGAAAATAATAAAATGCAACGCAAGAAGGAAGAGTGAAAACTGATAGATGAATCGGTCTAATATATGCAGATGCTAACATATTACTAGCCGAAACTATCAGTGAATTGAAATTAATCCTAATGAAAGCAAAAGAGGGAAGTGTGAAGGCAGGACTACAGCTGAATATTAAGAAAACGAAAAATCACGACTGCAGAATAATTGTACAACTTTACTGTTAACGATGAAGAAATTGAAAGTGTGAAAGATTTTACATACCCTGCTTCAGTGGCCAATTTAAACAGTGACTGCAGCCAAAATTATTAGACGACTGAGACTGGGAAGGGCAGTGGTGCAGGAACTGGAGAAGTGCCTCACGTGTTGGGAGGATTCACTGGAGACCAAGGCCAAGATCATACACGGTGTTGGATCCCAGTCACTGCCTGGGTGTGAAAGCTGGGCAGCGAAGAAAGCTGGCAGGAAGTAAATCGACGCATGCAAAACATGGTGCTGGAGGGGAGATCTGTGGATGTCTGTGACAGAAGAGGAATCCATGGGTTCTGGATCAAACCGAGCCACAATCTGTCCTGGAGCAAAGGTGACAAAATGGAGGCTGTCGTACATTGGGCTGTTCTTGAGGGGGCACGGCTCAGTCAAAAAGACAAGAGAAGGCAACCAAGTTAGGGAAAGTTGGAGGCGGAAGAGGATAAGACAGAGTGCTCAACGGAAGCCCCAGCCTTGTGTTCACAGAAGCCGTGGAGGATTCTCAAGGACAGAACATTTTGGAGGTCTTCCGTTCATAGGGTT